AGAGAGAGAGAGAGAGAGAGAGAGAGAGAGAGAGAGAGAGAGAGAGAGAGAGAGAGAGAGAGAGAGAGGATAGAGATAGATAGATAGATAAATAGATAGAGAGAGAGAGAGAGGCTGAATGGCGAAATTGAAATATAGGTCAAATTCGGTTGCGATCTATTTCACAGTTGAAATGATTTTTTTAAATTTATTTAGCGTTTTTCATGGAAATATCACAACAAAATCTATGAGTACTCCAATGTTCATGTTTTTTGACGCATTCTTCTGAGCACGAAAACTCACTGAATTTGGAGTATTTTTTCAGCTAGCCTACAAATGGCTGAGTGGCAAAAATCGAAAATATGTCGAATCGGCGTGACGATTATTTCACGGTCTAAATATGTGTGGTCAAATTGGGTCCTTCAAGATATTGCGAACTACTTACAGTTAGCTCTGGTAGAACCGGGACTTTTGGAAAAAGGAAGGACCAGTCCTTGGGTGGAAGCGGGACCTCAACAAGAAGTGAGGGCATGCGAACTGCAAAAGGGCCCTCAGGCCCAAGCGTTAAGGCTTGTCTTCTCAAAGCAGGAAGGTCATGCACAAGAAAACAAACATTTTGCAAGAGGCAACTTTGACAATTTTCTATGCTCGGAGACATCCACAGAAAAATCTGAAATTTTAAAAATCCAAAGATGAGGTTGTGTTCTTTCCAGAAAAAAACATCAGAGCATTTTCAAAACATCATTTAGACGGGGAAATAATCGTCGCGCCAATACGACACATTTTCCATTTTTGCCATTCAGCCATGTGTGGGCCAACTGAAAAAAGTACTCCAAATTCAGTGAGTTTTTGCACTATGAAGAATGCGTGAAACAACCTGAAAATTTGAGTACTCGTAGATTTTGTTGTGATCCTTCCAAGAAAAATGCTAAAGAAATTTTAAAAAATCATTCCAACTTTGAAATAGGTCGTGGCCGCAATTTTACCCATATTTTAATGTTGCCATTCAGCCTCTCTCTGTCTCTGTCTCTCTCTCTCTCTCGTGCGCGTAGCCCCCCCCCCCCCCCCCCCCCCCCCCCCCTCTATCTCTCTTTCTTTCTCTCTCTCACTCTTTGTCTCTCTCTCTCACTCATATCAACAAATGCAACAAAACTCTCTTTCTCTCTGGTAGCCCCCCCCCTCCTCTCTCTCTCTCTCTCTCACTCTCTCTCTCTCTCTGCGTTCCCCACGCCCACGCGGTAGACAATGCCAGTTGACACATGTCACCAAAGAAAACACACGTGTATGCGTGTGTGTGTGTGTGTGTGTGTTGTCATATTCCTTGTGTATGTGTGTGTGCGCACGCGAGTCTGTCTGTGTGCATGTCAAACAGAGAGAAACACCGAGTGTGTGTTTTGTGTGTGCGTTTGCTTTCCTCTTCACGCAACTTCCTGCCGAGTGTGTGTTGTATGTGTGTGTCTGCTTTCCTCTTCACGCGACCTCTCTTGTTGTGCCAACCAAAACTATCTAGCCGCTAGACTGGTAGGCCTCTGTCTCTTCATTTTCTCGTGTTCGCAGCCCTAAGGCTGCGGTCTACTGTGGTTTGGCGTCTGTGTCAAGGTGTCGCATTTTTGGCGGCAGGCGACCAGGACGCAAAGTGGGTTCTTAGGGGGCAAAAGAATTTGGGAAACCGATTCTTGCCAAAATTGCGGACTACCTACAGCTAGCTTTGGTAGAACAGGGAGTTTTGGAAAAAGGAAGGAGCGGTCCTCGAGTGGAAGTGGACCCCAAAAAGAAGTGAGGGGCGTTGGACGGGTCCACTGGTGGAACTGTACCCCAAAACAAAGTGAGGGCATGGGAACTGCAAAAGGGCCCTCAGGACCAGGCGTTGAGGCTCGACTTCTCAAAACAGGGAGATCAGGCGCAATGAAACAGACGTTTTGCAAGAACCACCTTTGGCGATTTTCTGTGCTTAGAGGAACCCGCATAAAAATCTGAAATTTTGAGAATCCATAGATGAGGTCGTGTTCTTTCTAGGAAAAATATTAGAACATTAAAAAAAAAAAAAATTTAGACCGAGAAATAATCGTCGTGCCGATTCGACACATTTTCCATTTTTGCCACTTAGCCATGTGTGGGCCAACTTAAAAAGTAATCGCAATTTGGTGAGTTTTCACTTTCAGAAGAATGCGTGAGGAAGCCTGAAAATTGAAGTACTTGTAGATTTTGTTGTGAACTTTCCAGGAAAAACGCTAATAAAAAAAAAAAAAAATCCAACTACGAAATAGATCGAGGCGGCAATTTGACCCATATTTCAATTTTGCCATTCAACCTCTGTCTCCGTCTCTCTCTGTCTCTCTCTCTCTCTCTCTCTCTCTCTCTAGTAGTCTCCCCCTCTCTCTCGCTCTCTCTCTCTAGTAGTCCCCCCCCCCCCTCTCTCTCTCTCTCTCTCTCTCTCTCTCTC